GAATCAGCAAAGAAGAAGTCAAACTCACTCTTTGCAGACGATATGACACTTTATGTGGAAAACCCAAAAGACTCCACCCCAAAACTGCTAGAACTCATACAGGAATTCAGTAAAGTGGCAGGATATAAAAATAATGCACAGAAATCAGTGGCATTTCTATACACCAACAACGAAACAGAAGAAAGAGAAATTAAGGAGTTGATCCCATTTACAATTGCACCCAAAACCATAAGATACCTAGGAATAAATCTAACCAAAAAGGCAAAGGATCTATACTCAGAAAACTATAAAATACTCATGAAAGAAATTGAGGAAGACCCAAAGAAATGGAAAAGCTTTTCATGCTCATGGATTGGAAGAACAAATACTGTGAGGATGTCTATGCTACCTAGAGAAATCTACACATTTAATGCAATCCCTATCCAAATACCATCCACTTTTTTTCAAAGAAATGGAACAAATAATACTAAAATTTGTATGGAACCAGAAAAGACCCCAAATAGCCACAGGAATGTTGAAAAAGAAAAGCAAAGCTGGTGGCGTCACAATCCCAGACTTCAAGCTCTATTACAAAGCTGTCATCATCAAGACAGTATGGTACTGGCACAAAAACAGACACATAGATCAATGGAACAGAATAGAGAGCCCAGAAATAGACCCTCAACTCTATGGTCAACTAATCTTTGACAAAGCCAGAAAGAATGTCCACTGAAAAAAAGAGTCTCTTCAACAAATGGTGTTGGGAAAATTAGACAGCCACATGCAGAAGAATGAAAATGGACCATTTCCTGACACCACACACAAAAATAGACTCAAAATGGTTGAAAGACCTCAATGTGAGACAGGAGTCCATCAAAATCCTAGAGGAGAACAGTCAGCAACCTCTTTGACCTCAGCCGCAGCAACTTCTTCCTAGAAATATTGCTAAAGGCAAGGGAAGCAAGGGCAAAAACGAACTATTGGGACTTCATTCAGATAAAAAGCTTTTGCACAGCAAAAGAAACAGTCAACAAAACCAAAAGGCAATCGACAGAATGGGAGAAGATATTTGCAAATGACATATCAGATAAAGGGCTAGTATCCAAAATCTATAAGGAACTTATCAAACTCAACACCCAAAGAACAAAGAATCCAATCAAGAAATGGGCAGAAGACATGAACAGACATTTTTCCAAAGAAGACATCCAAATGGCCAACAGACACATGAAAAAGTGCTCAACATCGCTCGGCATCAGGGAAATCCAAATCAAAACCTCCATGAGATACCACCTCACACCAGTCAGAATGGCTAGAATTAACAAGTCAGGAACGGCAGATCTTGGCGGGGATGCGGAGAAAGGGGAACCCTCCTACACTGTTGGTGGGAATGCAAGTTGGTACAGCCACCCTGGAAAACAGTATGGAGGTTCCTCAAAAAGTTGAAAATGGAGCTCCCCTATGACCCAGCAATTGCACTACTGGGTATTTACCCCGAAGATACAAATGTAGTGACCCAAAAGGGTACGTGCACCCCAATGTTTATAGCGGCAATGTTCACAATAGCCAAACTATGGAAAGAGCCAAGGTGTCCAGCAACAGATGAATAGATAAAGAAGATGTGGTATATAAACACAATGGAATATTATGCAGCCATCAAAAAAAAAACCACAAAATCTTGCCATTTGGAACGACATAGATGGAACTAGAGGGTATTATGCTAAGCGAAATAAATCAATCAGAGAAAAACATGTATCATATGATCTCACTGATATGAGGAATTCTTAATCTCAGGAAACAAACTGAGGGTTGCTGGAGTGGTGCGGGGTGGGAGGAATGGGGTGACTGGGTGATAGACATTGGGCAGGGTATGGGCTATGGTGAGCTCTGTGAATTGTGTAAGACTGTTGAATCATAGATCTGTACCTCTGAAACAAATAATACGTTATATGTTTAAAAAAAAAAGATAGTAGGAAGGGAAAAATGAAGGGGGGTTTCGGAGGGGGAGACAAACCATGAGAGACTACAGACTCTGAGAAACAAACTGAGGGTTCTAGAGGGGAGGGGGGTGGGGGGATGGCACATAAAGAGGGCACATATTGAATGGAGCACTGGGTGTTATATGCAAACAATGAATCATGGAACACTACATCAAAAACTAATGATGTAATGTATGGTGATTAACATAACATAATAAAATAAAATTTTTTTTAAAAAGTGATACAGCATAAAAACTATTAAACTTTCAGGTGAACAAGTTCTGTAGATCAGTAGGCTATAGAAGAATACCTCCTTAAGATATTCTTTAAAATCACCTCCTAAATTTTATACAGGAAAGCATATGAGAAAAAAAGGATTTCAATGCTGATGAGACAGGCTTATTTTTTTAAGGACATTGGCAAACAAACATATATGTTGTAAATGGCATTTCTGTTGACAAAAATATTGTGATCAGAGGTTGTAGAAATCTGTATTTCCCCTCAGAGCAATAGTTCAGCATCTATTAATTCAGTGTTCATAACAACTTTGTAGAAAACTACCACAAATAACAAGAATCACTGTGTATCATAGAAGCCTATAAAATTGCCATGGTTTGTTATGCCAGGCTTTTAGTTAAACCAGAAAATAAAAGAATTACCTAGAAATTCTTGTCAGAATGCAATAGAATAAGAAAAACTTAAAATGACTGTAAAGGAGAAATCAAACATTTTATTATGCGCAGAGTATATTGTTTGTATCTCAAAATCTAAGCTAATCAATGAAAAAGTTATTAAAAATAATGAGAGTTCAGTAATTTTTTTGAATACAAGGTAATTTTATGTTTATAAAATTCAATGTCACTTATTTAATTAAGCAATTATGTGTTAGGAAACAAAATAAAAATAAAGTAACTTTAATGTCAATATAAATGCAAATATGAGTATTTTTTAACAAAATAAAGTCTCTTGCCATTTATAAAAACTCCACAAACCTTTACTAAATCTTTTAGAAAAGAAAAACTGAAATAATTCAGCAGATATAGTGACAAAAAGACAACTTTTCAAAATGGATTCCTAAATTTACAGTTATTTTAATTAAAAACTTTTAATAAAGTTTGGAGATTCATATAAAATTAATCTGAAATATCCTGGTAGAATAAATGAGCAAGAATTGCTATGAACACTTTGAAAAATGGAGATTCAGTCAGAGAGGTAGGTTGTAGATAATCTCAACAGAACAACACAAAAAAACAGAAGACTATAATAATATAAATATGAAGACAGTAAAAATAGCAATGGATATAACTGAAAAAATCTTCTCTTTATTATTAAAAATTTGTCCCCTTTGGAATTCCCATCATGCAGTTAACAGACTCCTACAGAACTCCTTAGTGTCCTTTGAGTCCAGGGCATTAACAAGCCAGCCCCAGGGCGATATGTTGCTCTATGCCTCTCACAAACCAGAAATTTCAGTGTTTGGAGCTGATTCTATGCCTCCCTCCTCCCATTTTACACATCCTATCATTTCTCTCACCTGCATAAAACACCCTGCTCTTGCTTTTGTTTCACAGGGCATAATTAATCTATGTAAATCCTAGTCACTAACCCTCATTCACTAGATATTTCAGCACCTGACAGCTTTCCTAAGAACCAAGGGCATCCAGGATGACTTTAATTTCCAAAAAGATGATCTGCTTAACATCCTAGCCTTTCAATTCCTTTTTCTTCTCTTCTCCATTAAATACCTACTTTTGTCAAAGAAAATTTGTAACACAGAATTAAACAGGCAAGGAAGACTTTATTCAAGACTATTGCAACAGAAATCAAGACTTTAGCAACAGAGGAAAGAACTCAATTCCTCTGAAACAAAGGGCAAGAGAGTTTTTAAGCACACAGGGGGAGGTGAGAGACTAGTTGAAAAGTACTGGAAACACTGGGAGTTGGGGGTGTTTGTCAATGCAATTAGGTCATCTGTTTTTGCTAATCAGTTCTTAAGAAAGTTAGGTTCCTATCTACCCACAGAGACTAGGAGATAGGGATTCTATCTTTCTTGATGATTATATTTCAAAGAGATGGCTCCCAATATTTTGGGAAAGACATTTCTGGACTGTAAAACTGGCAAGTGATTGGCAGATTTATATCTCAAAGGAGTAAAGAAGAATTTATAATACAAGTTTTCCAAAGTAAGTGCTCTCAGAAAAGGGGGATCAAGGCACACAGTCACAAAGAAACCTATCTAAATTTTAGTCAAGCTGAGGGAAATGTTCAGGCCTTTTTGGTCACTCTACTATGACTATAGTTAGAGCTAAATTTGTCTAAACTAGTTGTGCATTCAGGTGTTACAGCAGTGCAGTGAGTTGGCATATAAGGAAACAAAGGCCTCATACAGCCCAGAAACAACCTCAGTTACAGGAGAAAGAGGCCATATTCCATGCCAACCATAAGAGGTTCACACAGTCCCTCAGAAGGTTACACAGCCCTCGCTCGTACTTTCATACTTTCCTTGTCCATTACTCTTCCTTCTTCTGGAGGTTTTGAACTGTAGCTGTTATTTTTGTCTTAATGTATGTTCATTATAAATTCTATCTCCTTAACTGTAAAATGAGAAAGATGTTGTACCCATTTAAATACTAATCAGCTTGAAGGTCAAGGAAGCCTTTTTTGGTGGGTAGGAAAGGTGGCTGAAGAAAGACCATATTTTTATTCTTCTGTATTTTTTCATTGGATCTTTTTAAAGGAAAATCTGTAGGCATACAGGCACCAAAATGAGAGATAGGAAGAACCTAGCCTTCATCAAGTGTTGCTCTGTGATTTCCAATTTTAGTTAAAATTGCAAACTGCTTTAAAGTCCCATCAGGTACTTTATGCCTGCACCATAGTTTTTGATCCTTAGATAATGGCTTCTTCCAAACTACAGAATAGCAACTTTACTAATCTTCCAATATTATTCTTTTCCAGGCTGTGACAAAGACATGCTGATCAACATTCTAACTCAACGTTGTAATGCGCAAAGGCTGATGATTGCGGAGGCATACCAGAGTGTGTATGGCCGGGTAGGATCTCTTCATCTTGACCTGTTCCTAGGGCAAACTCCTGGGAAATCACAACCCTTTCAGAAAACAGATACTGTTATTCTTTTCAGTCTCACAGATTACAAAGATCTCAGACTCTACTGTATGTCAGAAACAGTTCCTATGCCTCTACCATGTTTCAAGGAATGTAAGAAAGATGTATCTATGTGTGAGGTATGTTCACACTTACAGTGACTCCATCAGTCCTCTCTCAAAAATCATTCAGCTCCATAAAATGAAAGTTCTGATAGTCTTACACTGCTAGTTGGTCCAATTAGGCTAAAATGTTGCGCTGGAAACACCCCTGTGTCAAGCTTTAGGGAAGGCATAGAAAGGGCTAATGATCACTGGGTCAAAAAAATAAGATCTTTCCTGCAATTCTCCACAGGTCTTCACCTAACTCTCAACCAAAGTGAATTCTGACTAGCTTTTCTTCTCACAGCATGCAGTTGTAGAGACCATTAAAAAAGAATGGCAGTTAAAAATAGTTTAAGGCAATAAAACTATCCACAGTGCTTTAAAGTAATCACATTCTAATTTCAAAGCAAGTACCATTAAAGATTCCTTTCTTTTGTTATGCATTTAAACCACAGATTCAGAACAAAAACTCTTCAGGTCAAAGGGCTTGAAATGCAATTACTTTGTCAACTGAGCATTACTGATGAAACACTATCATAAAACTTTCTCTATAGAGTTAGCTCTTATAAATTCACTCCATCTCTAAACCTCAGTCTTTGAACAGCTATAATACATGAAATAAAGGATAGCTCTCTGTTGTAAAATAAATTAATAATCGAAGAAGCTACCACTACTAGTTATATTAGTTGAATTTAGCCATAAAAGGAAACCAGTTATGCTTTTTTTTTCAGATAAAACTGCTATCGTAGCTTATATTCCTATGATACCAGTGCTAGTTTTCTTTTGAAAGAGAACATAAAAACTATAAAAGTTCTAGCATCACTAATCTAATATTGTTTTAATAGGCATATGTCATAAGAATGGTCATTTTTCAGTGTTTTTTTAACCCAAAGGTTTGCATACATCTTTGCATTTTATACATCAAGTTAATTTAGGTTGAAGGCATTACTTTACTATATTCTACAAAATTACACTAAAACAGATTAAAACATTAAGAAATGAGATACTCAAGGAATGTAAAATACATTGAACAATTTATACTCTCAAAGGTCTCAAAGTTTGTTAAACTCTACCTTCTGTTGAACAATCTGTATTGCATGGAAATCTTGGCTAACAACACAATCTCACCAGTGGAAGACAACGAGTCATGCTGGCCCCTTTCCTCCAAAATATCCTTGTCATACAGTCAGTTATCAAGCCTTGAAAATTATTTTTCCTCTCACATTTCTCTCTTCTTCTCTCACTTACGCAGTCTTGATTCATTTGGTACCCAGACTAATGTGAAACTTATAACTGGTACCTGCTACCTTCGTGCCTTCCCACTCTGGTCTAGCCTCCACACTGAAGCCAGAATGATTCCAAATCTAGATTTCTGCCTCCCTCATTCCGTCCCTGAATGTTTATCTTATTTCTGCCTCACAAATATCCACAGGTCCATGGAATAAACCAATACCTACCCAGGGCATACAAAGCCTTGCTTACCTTGTTTCTGTTCTCCATTTTATTCCCTCTCCCCCTTCACACACCACCGACTGCAGCCAAACTGAACTAGTCGTACTTCTACAAATTAACTGTGCCTGCTCCCTTACCTGTAATCAGGGTGTTTTATCTATTTCAATGGCCTGACTCCCCCCCTCCACAAGCTGCACATCTGCCCATCGTCCCAGACACCGCACACTTCCTCACACCACTAACCCTAAACAGAGTGGAATGGACTCGTGCTGCTACTGCATTCTTTACAAAATTTCCCCCCGCCCCCGCCCCTAATGACACATTAGTGAGCTTGCTTGTATGTGTTTCCCTTTCCCCAAGTCTAAATCCTCAAAAGTTGGAATGCATTTCATCCAGAAAGTTTAGCACAAGTGTCTATTTAGCATGCCAAGATTGCTTAATTATGTTTATTGAAAGAGTGTGAAGGCATAGTTTTGGCTGCTCTTATAAACCTTTTCTGCCTGTCACACTCACCCTCTGCCCTGGGCTAGGTGCTTCCTGCTGGGGTCCCAGAATTCCCTGGACATACTGCTACATGGCCTTGACACACTGGGTTGTGTTGGTTTAATCTTTTCTCTTGATGACTAGACTGTAATCCCCTAGAAAATCAGGGACCAGGTTATTCGCTACTATCCCTCCAGAGCTCAGCCCAGGCTCTAACATAGAAGATGAATTTCATTTACAGAATAAGGGAATCTAAGAAATTATATTTTGCTTATTTACATTTTTGTTTTAAAAAAAGGAGGGGATATCCCTGTGTTATCCACTTTATACTTTTGTTATCTTCTGCTATCTTTCCCTTGCTGTGGTGAGAGTTTATAGATTTCCTGTATGTTAGTCTTTGATATTTTTATTTTTTATTAATATGGATAATTAAGATTTGACAGAATTATTTTTTTTAGCTGCTGAGCAAAGTGCAAGTCTAAGCATGCTTCATAAATACTTATTACTTGATATTTTACATTAGTGAAGAGCCGCTGAATTTCATCAACCACTTTTCCTCACCCAAAGCACACTAATCCCTACTCTCAAATGAAAAGCCTTTTGGAATGCCTCTGACAGACATATTTATCAACATAATTTTTTTAAAAGATTTTATTTATTTATTTGATGGAGAGAGACATAGTGAGAGCAGAAACACAAGCAGGGGGAGTGGGAGAGGGAGAAGCAGGCTCCCTGCTCAGGACCCTGGGATCATGACCTGAGCCGACGTCAGACGCTTAACGACTGAGCCACCCAGGCGCCCTTTTTTATTTACTTATTTATCAACATAATTAATGAGGTCACTCCTATCTTCCACACCAAAGTAAGTACTAGGCTATAGCCAGGCAGTGAAACCAAGGGAACAATAAAACACCTCTGGGGCTAGGCAGAGAAACTATACATATCTGATAAGTTTAGCAATTAGACAGGGATTCCTGAATGGGGTTCAAATTCAACCTTGCAGTAATTTATTCTCTCAATGTTCATCTGAAACAGGGATAATCAGCTCTGAAATATCCTGGCATCTGGAATTCATTAAAATTGTGGTGTTGGTTATATAATTTAGTGCAGAGGCTAAGTTGCCCTGAGTCACACAAAGTTAGAACTTAAACCAAGGTTATCTGGCTCTAAATCGTGTCTTTCAAAGTTTCTCAATACGCCTGCTGTTTTCAACTGAATAAATACCAGATTTAACAAGAGCAGATATCTATACCATTAACTCCCTCATATTCTTCAAGGCTTTGCTCAATGTCCACTACTCAAGAGGGCCTAATCTGATTGCCCTTTTTAAAACTGGCACCTACCCCAAAGCCTATGCCAGCACCCCAGATCCCTTCCACCTGTTGTTTTGGGTTTTCTTCTATAACACTCACTGCCTTCTAATATTCTACATAATTTATTTACATATAATTATTATTTATTGTTTGCCACCTCTCCCTAATATAAGCCCCACAAGGAGAGGAATCTTTGTTTGGTTCACTAATGTGTCCAAAGCACTTATGACAGTGGCAGGCACATAGCTGGCATTGCAGACTCAACTGCAGCCCCTCAAAATTTAAATGCTGAAGCCCTAATCTCCCAAAGTAACTGTGTTTAAAGATAGGGCATTTTGGGCGCCTGGGTGGCTCAGTTGGTTAAGCGACGGCCTTCGGCTCAGGTCATGATCCTGGAGTCCCGGGATCGAGTCCCGCATCGGGCTCCCTGCTCGGCAGTTAAATATCAAATCATCTTGAACACCCAAGAAATTTATCTGAGGACTGAGAGATCAAAACTGCACAACTAGAGATAGAAAATCAGCCACATCGTGGAAGACAGGAGCTGTGGAGAGTTGATTTGGGGAGGAAAGAATCACAGGTGCTATGAAGGGGAAGGAACCCTGATCACAGAGAAGCGAGAGAGAGAGAGAGAGAGAGAGAGAAAGAGAGAGAGAAAGCGCACACACGGGATTGCACAAGAAAAATTCTTCCCCAAAACCACTGACCGGAAAAAGGAGAGGGACTATCTACCACAAGATTTTATAAAGAGTGGAGCACAAAGTCTGAAGTTTTGGTGGTCCACACCACCGCCAGGGTCATGCCTGATGGGCTTGGCAATGCTCCGGTGGGAGAGGAAGGTGGAAATCTGGGAGTGGGCAGCACAGTCAGAGGATACCCTGGGCCACACAGGGAGAAACATTTCCCCTGCTTGGAGTGCATTTGGGAATGGTAGCACAGCCTCTCTAGGGACAAAAATACTGGTGGTGCCAACATGCTGCCCTGTTCCCTAGCATAGGAACAAAAAGACCGGCTGGGGACAGCAAACCTTGGTGCCGGCTTTTTGGCTGCACTTTACCATAAACTTAGAATGGTTGAGGGGCGCCTGGGTGGCTCAGTTGGTTAAGCATCTGCCTTTGGCTCAGGTCATGATCCCAGGGTCCCGGGATCGAGCCCCACTTCAGGCTCACTGCTCACTGGGGAGTCTGTTTCTCCCTCTGCCCCTCCCACTCCCACTGGTGTTCTCTCTCTCTCTCTCAAATAAATAAATAAAATATTAAAAAAAAAACTTTGAACAGTTGCATGGTCACACAACCAATTTCTGGGACAAACCAGCACCAGCTACAGTGCAGCGAGACCCTCCCCTATAGGAACAGCATGGATCCTTACCCCACAGATCTCTAAAATTTGGAGTTGTGAAACTCACTCTGTGCCTAAGATAAAACACAGAAGTATTGTGCCACTTGGCAAGTGGACAGCTCCGATGCAGGCAGGGATCTGACAGAAGCCAGGGACACAAGAGAGGTGCTTGTTTGTTCTTCTTTGAGGGCTTCCTGAAGAGTAGCAGATGCGAACTCCCTGCTCTGTGGACAAGAGAGAAAGAGACAGGCAACTTCA